CTGAAGAAAATCCGACTCATACTCCTCCTCCTTTTTGATTACAGGTACAACTGTCTGGCCAGTTGTACAATCTGTCTCAGACATACTTACTGCTGGACAAGCTCTATAGGCCACCCGTCCAAATATGTATCACAACCTAAGCAGTAAAAATTTTTCATCCACTTAGTCATTCCTAAGTAGATGGCCAGGCTAAAACTCTTTTGAGTGATTTCAGGTCTCTTCCGACAAGTATGCCCCAAAAGCTAACAAACTATGCAAATTCTTTGACCGAGCAACACCATGAATGCGATAGAAAACTACTGACTGTACAGATGAGAGATAGCTTCAGAAAAAAATCTAGAAAATCTTCTCTAAATTGATGCAAAGTGGAATGAGCAGAACCAGAATAATTTATACAGTAACAGCAATATCACAAAGATAATCAACTTTGAAAGGTTTAGTAACTCTGATCAATACAATGACCCACCACAATTCCAAAGGAATCATGATGAAACATCCTATCAACCTCCACAGAGAGAGCTGTTAGAGATTGAGCGCTGAAGCACATCTTCTTCTTCTTCTTTTTTGAGGAACATGGCTAGTGCAGAAATTTGTTTGGCAATACTATGCATACTTGTAATGGGTTTGGGTTTTTTTTGGGGGGGGAGGTTGGCCTTCATAATGAGTAGGGGAGAGGGAAGGGAGAGAAGTTGGAACTGAAAACAAAGGTGAATTTTAACCAAATATCTTCCTTCAGGTATTGCAATATTCCAGGACTTGCTGAAATCAACTTGATGTCACTTGCACACAAGAGCACCTACAGAAGCTCACCAACCATAGGGAACCCCTCTCCAACTTGGACTTCATGCAGGATCTCCTTTATCACAGCAACAAAAATCTTGGAGAAGCTTACATCTTCCTATTTTATGCCTTGCCTTGCCTAATGTTTGTGATCAGGTTACTGATTATTATCTCTTTTGTTCAAGGAATCCTGAATGGTTTTTGCTATATGGAGACACCTTGTGGAAGAAAAATTTCAAGACAACATTTTACTTGACCAAATCATACAGTGAGTCTCATCTTTCTACTCATAGCATAATGATAAAGATGTGGCACACTGTGAAATACTGCTTGTAAAAGCCAGCATGTTCCCTACTAATAGCCTCATATATGTCCTCAGGGATATAATTCATTAATTGTGTATATATGGGAAAGTGGGCTTATCAGTCAGTAGTTGATAATACCTGTTACCTTGGGAGGGGAGAGGGGGGTGATCAATAAATCAGAATTTTTTTCAGTGTTTTTGTTATCATTACCCCTTCCTCCTTCATTTATCTTGTGGATTAATCCTTCAATGTCTTCACAATCGACACTTCCGGGATGGTTCTCCTCTATGTATAGTTGGTACATGACAGCTGTTTTTTCCACTTTCTCTTTTTCCTGGCATTTCTACATCCTCTATAAGCACATCCAGAACCATAAGATTTAGTGAGATGGTGATAACTATCCTCAATAGTGAAAACAATTTATGGAAATCCTTGCAGATCGTTTCCATTTTTCTTTAGTTTATTGTCCCTCATCCCATTGTCATTCTTAGGCTCCCTCAAAATGACTTTGCTGAGCATTTTAAAGCAAAATGAAGAAATGTAGAGTAAAAACAAAGTAAAGAAAGTTTGATGAGACTAAACAGCAAAGTTATCCTGAAGGAACTGCTTCTAATTTTCCTTCCTCCTTCCTTACAAGGGTTTCTTTTTTTTTTTAATTAATGTTTAAATAGTGCTGCCTTTGGCCACCTTATCTCTCTACTTGTCAAGTATTTACTAACTAAGGCATCTTTTAGTCTCTTTAGGTCACATTATGGCAATTGATTTTCATCTGTTAAAATTCTGTGAAAAATCATAATTAACATTAATGAAATTTAGATTATTTACTACCCTATTTTTGCTAATAATAACTTGATTAAGTAGATGAGGATTGTTATTTAATTGCACAGCATATCATTTTCACATTATGAGGTTTTCTATTCTATCTTGGCTCTAACAAGTCAATTGTCTGACAGTAGCACAGCTAATTCAGGGATGTCTCCCACATCAATAGTTTGGTTTGTTTTTTTTTCCCCATCTGTTAAAATTGAATCTAAGAGGTGGAGTTGTGAGGAGGGGATGTATTCTAGGCATGGGGCAGCACATGGCATGAAGGCAGGAGTATCATATAAAAGCACCAATAAGACCAATTTGGCTAAACCAGAGAGCATGAGATAAGTCACATGAGGCTGGAAAAGTAGATTGGGGCCAGACTGTGAAAGACTTTAAAGGCAACAGCCCACATGGTCAGTAATAAGAATCTGAAATGTGGAACTAGAGTAGGGACAAAAAATGGACTGAAAGTGACCTTGGTTCCTAGACGTGGGTGATGATTTGAGAGAAAAGATGATGGATGTTTTCAGCTTGAGCAAAGGAAGACTAATGGGTGCCATTTACTGAAACAGAAGTTGGAAGGAGGGTCAGGTATGCAAAGTGATGAATTCAGTTTGAAGCACGCTGAGTTTGAGGTGTTAACAGGATATCTAATGGGTGGTGTGTGTCTGGGAGTCACCCATATACAAAAGAATAGATTACCCATGATGCAACTGTAGAGGGATAAGAGGGCCTTGAAAGTTACCTACACAGGGAAGAGAGGTCAAGATGTTGAATTGGGGTTGAACTAGAACACTTAGCTATCCTTTTCAAATTTGTAATCTGAATCTAAGACTATATAAGGCTAAAGACTCTACTTTTCAGATGAAAACCCAGAATTCTGGAAAGACTTTAGCAGGAAGATATCATGGTTTCCCTCCTTCTCCCCAACTAATCCCCATCCCTCCCCTCCACTATCCTTGAACCAAGTGTGAATAGCAGTTCCTAGGCAGCAGGTTACCCATAAAACCAAAGAAGGCAATCACAGTGGGGATAGAGTGTGTGTGGGATATTCAGCTCAGTAAAACACGTATAATTTAGGAGTATGTACGTATCTTGGAGACGTAAAAATAAGTTTAAAAACAACACCTAAGAATCAGCTTGTAAGTCCCTGTACTAAAGAATGCATAATTATATTTCCTTCTTTCTTCTTAAAATTAATACAGACATTCTTAAATGTTTTACGAGAAGCAGTGTGAAGAGAAGATGGGGAGCTGGCCTCAAAGCCAGGAAGACCTAAATTAAAGTGCCACCTCTGACAGACTGGCCATGTGGCCCTGGACAAGCCACAATCTCTCAGCACTCTAGGAAACTTGCTAAGACTATACAGTGCAGAGAATCTGTTGCGTGTAGAGAGTTTCTGTACCAGGAGGTCCCTAGACCAATGACACCACAGGTCTAGTCTCTGTTCTATCTTTTGTTCATTTCCAAATCTATCGTTCCCAGAGAGATAATCCTTTTAACGAATGAAGTGTGGTTAATAAGCATGTGCTACATGCTGTGACCATCCCTGCCCTCAAACAGCTGACATCCTAATGAGGGAGACAGTCCACATGACATGGAGGTCCCCTGACCACCACGTGGGCAAATAGCAAAGAACTTCAGAGGTTAGACAGCCTGAGTCTCTTATGTGTGGTGACTGGACAGGCCGTGGGAGAGCTGCAACACCAGACTGAAGGTGGCACAAGTTGTGGCCCAAGTTGCTGCCTGTGGTGACCAGATCCGTGCTGAAACAAGCACAACAGAAGCAACCAGACAAGGAAGAGAGCAGGAAGCCGAGTGAGCAAAGCCCCCAGAGGCTGGTCAGTTACCAGGAAGCCTGATTCCACGATGAGCCCAAGTGGAGTGAATGATGCTGCACCTGCACTCCCCTCTTGAACTCTGAGGTTTAACTCCAGACTCATCCCCACCTTCCCAACCTGTTCCGTCTCCACGGTGTGCAGAGGCCAGGAGCTTTGGGACCACCACCCCTCACGGACCTGGGAGCTAGGAGAGAAGTCAGGAGGAGTTTTCCCCTTACATTTTCAAAACGTTAAAATCGGGCAAAAGAAAGCAGTCTGCCTCAGCAGATGGAGCTCAGATATGCTTATAAATTTTATTTTTTCATGATGACCAGTCAGGCTAATGATCAGGATAGAAGCTGAACTGGACTTTTACACAAACAGAAGAAAAAAAAACAGGAAAATTAACAATTAGGAAAAATACTCTTGAACAAGCTTCACATAGAAGTGTGATTCTATGAGGCAGTGATCACTCCACCAACTACGTCATCATTACGAAAGGAAAACAAAGAAAACTCAGCAGAGGCCAAGAATATCAGGAAAGCCAAGTAGGGTCATCTGTCCCATTAGCTCAAAAAGACCAAGCAGAAGGAACGACAACATGCCTAGTGAAGAGGAGCTTCTGGAATCACAACAGGGTAGAGGAAGATGTAATGGTAGAAGCAAATAGAGGGAGGGACATGAGAACTGAAACAGAGAACAGCATACTCACAGCTCTCATCACCCGTTGTCTTCCAAGGAACAAGTTCACCGAGGGCCTCCACTAGTAAAACTGTTCTCTCTCTCTCTCTCTCTCTCTCTCTCTCTCTTTGGTTTTTGCTCATCATATATATTTAAATTCAGATGAGCCAGATGTTCATATAATGGGATTCCACTGCAATTTCTTTGCTTCAGTTTAATCTGAATGGTTCACCCCTACATTAACATACAAAAACTTTCTGGTAAGGGTTTGCCAAAAGAGGATATTCTCAAGAAGGAAGTCAAAGAGATTTCCACAATGGCTCTGAAAATAAGTAGTCTTTAACGTGACTACTGTTAAAAATTCTGTTCAATACTATAGTTTAATAACTATATTAAGCAGGAAAGATGACTATCTACTTTTTACCAAGCTGTCTCCAACAAGGTGAGAATAGGTACAGGGGTGGGGAATCTGTAGCCCTGAGGCCACGTGTGACCCTTTAGGTCCTTAAGTGTGGCCCTCTGACTGAATACAAACTTCACAGGACAAATCCCCTTAATAAAAGGATTTGCTCTGTAAAACTTAGACTCAGTCCAAAGGCCACCCCCAAGGACCTAGAGGGCCACATGTGGCCGCAAGGCCGCAGGTTCCCCACCCCTGTACTAGGATATTTAATAAAAATAGTCACTGAGCAAAACTATCACCTTAGGAACTTTAAAACAGGTTAGACAGAAGCAACAAATACCACTTATGGATCTAATCCCTTGAGGTCCTAGGCATTCCTGCTCTCCTAGAGAGAACATAAAGTTGGCACTTCGGGATCTTGGACAGATTCACACTGGAGAAAAATCACAGCTCTTTTGGTTAATTTGTAGAAAATGTTATTACATGTTTTTAACAGGGTACCTGGGCTAAGAAACGAGTGTCATTCCTTTCTCTCTTCCTGAAGGACCAGAATTCCAAAGGCTGAACAGGACCGGGTCCCAATTAGTGCTCAGTTACGCTTGGTGTCAAGATAGTCATCTTGTGACCCCAGCACGTGGTGCTGTTTTCAGAGATCTTTGCCTCAGCTCATCAGAATACAGACTCCACGTCACCCATCTCGACACAGACGGTCTTGAGCTGTGAATAATACTCAATTGTCACACGGCCATTCTCTCTGCCAAATCCTGAATGAAAGAAAAAAAGGCCAAGTGATTGGAGGTGACAAATCACTTGATAAATGTTTTTTGACTGATAGTACTGTGAAAAAGAGCAAGTATGCACCAACAGTTTTGTGGATATCGCTAGGACTTTCTGCCAATATTGGTAGAGATCTGAGCACGGTGGAAGTGCTCTTTAGGTCTGTGCATTATCATCATGTAGATACAGGAAGTGAAAGTGAGTGAGTAAGTGAGTGTGTGTGTGTGTGTGTGTCTGTCTGTCTGTATTTTTGTGCATGCTTCTGAGCTCTACAGGACTGGAGTGCCAAAGGCCCTTAAGTGTTCCTAGTATACCATTTATTTTTCTCTTTTTTCCCTGTGATCCTCACCTGACATCTTATAGCCACCAAAGGGCAATTCCACTGGGCTAACATTGTAATTGTTAATGTAGCACACTCCGGCTTGAAGCTCAGCCACCACTCGGTGAGCTCTCTGGATATCCCTGTAGGGGAAAAAAACAATTACTTATTACTTTCAGAGACTGAAGTTTGCAAGCAATCAGCGGGTTTCAAAGGTTATTTACCCAAGAGAAAGATTGTGCAAGAAAACCCAGTTATCATTTCCAAAATGGTTCTAAGACCTTTACCATTTGTGCTGAGTAAATAGGGTTTTGGGTTTTATGGGCTCACATCAAAAACCTTCATAAAAATCAATGGTGGCATATCCAGATGTGTGAAGCATATCTCCCTTTGTGAAATGAGCTCAATGTCGATATAGCAGAACAAAACGTGAGGCCTATAAACTTATCCTGCTCAAATCACAAATCCAAAAAAGGGCCTCCTGTGGTATTGTGGTCCCCACACACACAGCTCAGAAGCACAATAGCAACATGGATTCTACCTCACCGACTCAATAGGAGGAATGCTGCAAATCTCCAGATGACCAGATACACAACATAATGCCAAATCGGAGAGGGCCATCTAGGTGCCATCTTTAACCCCTCACTCTCATGCCTCACATCCAATCTGGTGTCAAGTCCTGTCAATTCTACCTTCCTAACATCTCCTGTCTACGCTCCTTCTCTCTTCTGACATTGCATGGACTGTTACAATGGCCCGTCTGGTTGGCCTCCCTGCCTCATCTTTCCCCACTCCAGTCTGTCAGCTGCCAAAGAGATCTGACCATGCCACTCCCTTAATCAATTAACTCCCTATTACCTCTAGGATCAATTATAAAATCCTTTGGTTGGCATTCAAATCCTTTTATAACACACTCCCCCCTTTCTAGTCTCCTTACACCTTGCTCCCTATCAAATACTCTATGATCCACTGGCCTCTTGACTATTCCTCACACAAGATGCTCCATCTCCTGACAGTGGGAATGCGCTCTCACCTTCTCCCTGTCTCCTGCCTTCTTTGGCTGCCCTCAAGTCCCAGCTTAAATCCCTCCTTGTACTTCAAAAAGCCTTTCTTTGACCTCCCTCCCCTTAATTCTGGTGCCTTCCCTCTGCTGATTATCTCCAGTGCATCCTGTACACATCTCATTTGTACATGGTGGTTTGCACGTTGTCTCCCCAGTTAAATTGCAAGCTCCTGGAGAGAAGAGACCGGCTTTTTGCCCTTCTTTGTATCCCCAACATTTAGCACAGCAGCCAGCACATAGTAGGTACTTAATAAATGCCTACTGATCGAATGATATACAGGCAGCCTACCCTTGCTCTCATGTTTACTAAGAAAATCATTCTTTTTTTTTTTTTTAAGAGAATCATTCTTCACTTTGCAAAGTTCTGACGTATTAAGCTCTTGGTTCCTACTGATGAGTGTGGGGCATGAAAATGTAACTGCGCCAACAGTTTTGTGGATATCGCTAGGACTTTCTGCCAATATTGGTAGAGACCATACATTTTTATCAGGTCCAAAAATACACAAGAGGCCACTGGTTAAGGCTGTTTAATGGTGTGTGAGGGTACAAGGTCAGTTTATTGTGCTTAACTAAGACAAGAGTAGAAGGAAGAGGAAGGAAAGACAGGGCCTGAATTATCTTGTAAAGTCATGTTCTAATCTTCCAAAAGCACAAAATCAAAGTTCTTCTTTTCGAGCTTGAAAATAACTAAACTGGATTCAGTGAAACAATATTTCTATATTATAGTGCCCTCATATCTTATTCTGGATACATTATTTAAAACTTCATTGTGTTATTTTCCTAACCCTACTTCTCGGGGTTGTTGTGAAGACCAAATGAGATAACTGTACAGCATTTATTAGCACAGCGCTTAGACCATAACAAGCACTCATCAAAGAGAGTAGACCTTTAATCAGAAGTAAAAAGAAATGCCCCTGGAGGCCTGAGAACAGTGGTATCTGGACAGACTGTCCATTGTCTTAGGGGACAGCTTCTGACCTGCTGCCTGAAAAGCCAGGCTTACTTTGTGAAGACACCAGCTGCAAGTCCAAAGGTGGTGTCATTGGCTCTCTCGAGGACCTCAGTCTCTGTGTCAAAGGGCAAAATGGACATAACTGGTCCAAAGATCTCTTCCTTCACACAGGTCATGTCATCTTTGCAATTTCCTGCAAACAAGCAAAATGTAACAAAAACACACTTTAGTGCAGCGGTAACTGTTCTTGATACCTGAGATAATTTTTCTTTTTTTTAATATTGTTGAAAGAAGGCTTCATTTACAGCTACATACTTCTTTATCTAATATGAAAATCTGTAATAAGTTTTATAAACTTAATAAAACAGATAAATGAAGGACTAATTATTCACTTTATGATGAAATTCAATATTTCCTTTACAGTTAAAATAGCATAACTGAACCTACATAGTCAGAAACAAGAACAGTGATTTAGGTGGCAAACTATGGCCTGAGGGACAAATCTGGCCCACCTCTTGCTTTTGTTTAAAAAAAAAAAATTCCTAGCTCAATTGCCATGGGAAAGCAAAATTTGGCCCAAAATGAAGACTGTCAACTCCTGATTTAGATAGCAACATCCTCACCAGACCTTTCAAAGTAATGGCCCTTCAGTACAAAGACTGCTACTCTCTATAATGAAGATGCTACAAGATAAGCGCTGAATTAAGAGACTCTGCTACCCAGGAGAAATAATTAAATTATAATTAGTGCAGGTCTAAAGGATTTTTAGTTTTCTAATACCTTGAAAACTCATAATCCATATGACAACTATTAACCAGAATATTTAATTAGCCAAAACACTTCATTATCCCCCAACTCATGGCAGAAAATAATGCCTCCTATATTACCAGACTGTCTTGCCAATAGTGAGCTCTGCAGACCAGAACTGTAATATGGTAAAAAGGAATGAGGGGGATGAAATATGCTGCCTACCTCCAGAGACAGTGATGGAAGTAATTTTTTTAAAGACATGGCTAATGTGAAAATTTGTTTTGGATGATTATGTATGTTTCTAATGGGTTTTATTTTTCTTGCTTTCTCAATAAAGGGGAGAACAAAAGGGAAGGGAGAGAATTTGGACCTGGAGATAAAATAAAATTGAATTTTTAAAAAAGATTTTAACAAGAAATAAAAAAAAAGGAATGAGAGGGTAAAACAGGAATGAAACACTCAGGAACAGGGAGGAAAAACTGACCCAATTATTGCCTAATATTTAACTCATCAAAGAGAGTAGACCTTTAATCAGAAGTAAAAATGACCTTTAGTCACCTATGAATCTCAAGGGAATAGAGTCAAAGTTAGGCTACTTCTATGTTAAGGACTTTTCTTAGCCCTCAGTTCATAGTTTTTAACCATAAACGTGGTCTACTTTCAAGGTTAAACTGCACCTGTAAGATACCTGTGTCCTGGTCTTTATGTCTGGTTTCTTTAAGTCCTTCTTTCAAACACAAAACAAATCGCCATCCCAGAATTTGTTAAAAATCAGCTTGCTCTTATCTTTAGGACAAAATATATTAACCCACCATAAATTTTTATCAGGTCCAAAAATACACAAGAGGCCACTGGTTAAGGCTGTTTAATGGTGTGTGAGGGTACAAGGTCAGTTTATTGTGCTTAACTAAGACAAGAGTAGAAGGAAGAGGAGGGAAAGACAGGGCCTGAATTATCTTGTAAAGTCATGTTCTAATCTTCCAAAAGCACAAAATCAAAGTCCTTCTTTTCGAGTTTGAAAATAACTAAACTGGATTCAGTGAAACAATATTTCTATATTATAGTGCCCTCATATCTTATTCTGGATACATTATTTAAAACTTCATTGTGTTATTTTCCTTACCCTCCTTCTCGGGGTTGTTGTGAAGATCAAATGAGATAACATTTATTAGCACAGTGCTTAGGACATAACAAGCACTAGAAAAATATTAGCTATTATCATTATTATTGTTGTTATTATCATTACTCTTCAATTTGTATAAAGTGCTCTTAATGAAGGATGAAAACCCTTAAGGCAGGACCTGGCAATCAATGTTGATTTCAACATGTGTTAAACTGACAAAGCTCCTAGTGGTTCCCTCCTCTTGGTACAGACTGTAGGAGAAGCAAGAGAGCCACATTTTCAGATACAACACAAAATAATTCTGGGACCTTCAGGCACATACCCGGTTCTAGCACACCACACTTTAGAACATTCCAAAAATCAGTTTTTTTTCGTTTGTTACAAAGAGGACTTACTTTGAGGGAGCAGTAGGGGGAACAGAGGGATTAATGATAATGAGGCAAAAAGAAAAAAAAAAAGACCACCAAGAAAACATTTTTAGAAAGAAACTAGGGGGCAGCTAGGTGGCCCAGTGGATAGGGTACCAGCCCTGGAGTCAGGAGGACCTGAGTTCAAACCCGGCCTCAGACACTTGACACTAGCTGTGTGACCCTGGGCAAGTCACTTAACCCCGACTGCCTAAGTAAAAACAAAAAAACAAAAAAAAGATAGAAAGAAACTGGACAGCAAAAGGAAGTTCAGAAGGCAACAGACAAACAAGGCAGTGTTGGGATTACCATGTTAAATGTTATATTTTTGAACCAAGCTGTAACATAATAGATTCACAGCTTCATACTGAATCTTTTTTTTTTTTGGTTCTCTTTCTTTATTTATGGTAATGCTCATGGTTGTGTATGATTTTCTCGTCTATAATTTTTTTTTTAAACAGCATAAGCTTCTACACAATGCCAGATTGCAAGGGCAAAAAGACATACCTAGTATGCAAGGTTTCATGTAGTATCCATCCTTCAGTTTGGGATCTTCTGGAATATACAAGTCTCCACCACACAACACTTTAGCACCCTAAAAATAAAACCAATGCTTACTGTATGAAAACACACGACCACAATGTGAAATTCTTCCCAGGCATTTCCAAACCATGCTGCCTGCGCTTAGCAGGGGAGGACTAAGACATTAAGCTAAAGAGATACTAGTCCTATTCCAGAGCAAATATAGAAGGAAAGATTTCAAAGATACCAGTGGACTTTAGTGACCCTCATTCTTTCACAATGACTTGTCCAGATCCTTTCCTCGATTCTCCTCAAGGACCCAATTGCAAGCCTGCCCGCCCCCCAACACATAAACAGAAGATGGTTTCAGATTCTGATTTCACTAAGACTGAGGGCAACCTCAACTCAACTCCCCTCTCCTCAACACTGAGCAGTATCATCCCCTTTCTCTCCTCCACAGCCAAGAGGAAGCAGCATCCCTATTCCTTTCTAAGACTGATCCCACTCTCTGTACCCTTGATTCCATTCCCCCCCTTGCTTCCTTTTCCACCCATCTTCCAACTCTCCCACTCCAAGGGCTTCTTGCCATCTGCCCATCACCATGCCAAGGCCTTCCATTGCTCCTCACACTCTCTGCAGCTGACAGATCATGTCTATCTTCCCTTTACAGTCAAACTTCGTGAAAAAGTTTTCTGGATTTGATGCCTCCACTTCCTGACTTTTTGCAATGTGGTTCCCACACCTGTATCTACTGAAGCCACAGGCAGAGAGTTCATTCGTGACCTTAGTCACCTCTATAACCTAACTGCGACACCTCAGGTCAAAGACCCAGAACTGGAAAGGACGCTCAGAGATCATCTCATCCAACCCCCGCAATTTACAAATGAGGAAACCTGGGCCTAGAGAGGTTTAGCAACTTACTCAAGGTCACACAAGCAGCAAGTGTCAAAGGCAGGATTTGAACACAAGTCCTCTGCCTCCACAGTTGGTGCAATTTCCACTATATCACCCTGCCTCCCCTGGCCAACGCAGACCAGCCTCTTTCTTCCTCTTCCTTCTGCTTCTTAGATACCACCTTCTCCTGCTTTGCTTCACCCCTCTAACCATTGCCTCAGCGGCTCCTTGTCCTCTTCCACATGCACTGAGATGGGTATCTGTCCTTAGCTCTGTCCTTGACTTCCTTCTCTCTCGCTTTGGTAATGCCAACAGAAACAGAAGTCTGGAGGAAGGGAGCCTTCAGCAGCACACAATCCCCTAGAGAAGAGACCGCTCTTGGTTTTGTCTTTGTACATCTCACACATGACGTTTACTTAATAAATGCTTGCTGAACTGGAATGGGGAAGATGATGACTGTAGTTTGGGCCAACTTGAGTTTGAGATGCCACTTAGATGTATGCATAGGTAAAGACGTCCAACATTCAGTTGCAGATACTCAAGAAAGAAATAGGGGTTGGATATATAGATCTAGGAGACATCTGTGGAAAAGAGATAATTGAACCCATCAAAGCAGATGAGAATACCAAGTCAAAAGAGAAGAAGGGAGAGACTGGAGGGCAGACATGCTTGGGCATGCAGAAGATAAAATGTGTATCCTACCCAGACAGCAAAAAAAAGATGTTTAAAAAAATATACCTAGGGGAAACTCCAGTACCCAGCACTGTCATCATCCCATTTCAGAGATAAGGAACCTGAGGCAAAGAGAAATGGAGGAACTTGCTCAGGGTCAGCAAACCAGTGTCTGAAGTTGGATTTGAACTCAGGTCTTCCTGACTCCAGATGCCTCACTTCACTGCACCACCTAGCTGTACTGCACTCTGAATCTGCTGACCCACAGGAAGACAAGAATCAAATAAATGGCAAGGACCTATTTCTGGCAAAATTAGCACATACAGCATTGCTAGAGTAAAGGATGACTTGGGTTTTAACAGCACGTTTCCTCTTAAAAGTTAATATATTAAAACCCTTCTACCATCTGCTCCATAATTTCCTATCAGAAAGAAACCACATGGGTAAAATTTCAGTCTTTCAACTAAATGGATTCTGAAGGAAGCAAGACATCTTCTACAAAAAAAACCAGAAATGAGAAAGCAAACTGAGTTTGGAGGCCTCAGTGGAAAGCTTTCAAATTACACAGGGTAATTAATGAACAGGACTCATTCCAGCAACACCAATGTCAGGAAATCACACTCCTAGAAGGTGAAAATAACATAGGCAGCATAGGGTCAATTTTCAAAACATGGAATCTTGCTTGACCTTGCCTCAAAAGGGCACACGTTCCTTCCCTGACCCTCTTGAACAGATCAGTACAAGGGCGCATTCATCTCTCCACCTTGAACAGAGCCTACTCTCTACCCACATAGACTGCAAATGACCACAACCCCAAGAATTCCTGCCCCACGCCCTGTTACCAGATGTCCTGGAGAAGTCCAACCTCCTCACCCCCATACACTCATGGACTCACTCTACTTCTGAACACCTGTAATCCTTCCAGCATTTCCAAGTTCTGAGATAGCTGAGGGCAAAAGAGTTACTTTTCTTAAGTACAATCTTAGTTTGCATATATTGTTAGAAAGTTTCCCCAAAACAACCTGTTAGGATTTTGTTGAATTCTAATTCTATCATTTAACATATTACCTAGTCCTCCCAGCTTCTGTCATCCCTAAGAATCAATCAATTAACAAGCATTTACTAAGCACCTACTAAATCCCAGGCACTGTGCTAAGCTGGGGATACAAAAAGTACCTTCTGTGTCTCATTTAACAAGTTTACCCTGGAAGCAGGGTTATAAGATATAGAAATCTCTAAGCAGTGTCTCATTCCGAAAGCTACATAGAATAAAATGTAAGGATTGACAAAAAAGACTACAGAAGTCTTGCTATCATAATGTATATGATCAGAAATGTTAACGTATATTATTAGTCAGTTGCCTGGAGGCACCGCCATCTAGTGGCAGCTCTCTAAAATGCTAGGCCAGAAAACAGGAAAAGAGGGATTGGGACAGGACACTATGTACATTTGGGAGGGGGGGGAAGGGGGCCTTTACTGTGCCTGGGGAAAAGAGCCCAGCATCCAACGGAGGCCAATTTTGTCCCCTCAAAAGTTATGTGGGATAGAGACACAGGCTGGTGAGTTGCTCAGACTGGGACGAGGCTGAGACATTTTGAGATCCAGGCCCCAAGGAAGCCACCATCAAAGAGAAGTCAGAAAGTGAGCAATAAGGGAAAATAAGGTTAATAAATAAATAAATAACCAAAGATCTCAGGGAAAAGAAAACCTAAAGACTTTGACCATAAGAAGATAAACAAAGTATATGTGGAAGAATGCTTTATAGGCTTAGATTAGTAGCCAGGTAGAAATAAATACATAAAAGAACCAAATACTGTAATACCTGACAAGAAAAATGAGATCCACACCCCCCTTACTTCTTACCTGCTTCTTTCCCTGTTCAATGAACCCAAGAACACGTTGCAGATGTGATCGATTAATGAGGGGGCCCATTCTTGTGTTTTCCAGAAGGGGGTCCCCAATCTTTATCTTCTGGGTTTGTTTTACTACTTCCTCTGTGAATTTATCCAGAATTTCTCTTTGCACAAACACTCTGGTGCCATTGCAACAAACCTGGGGTGGGGGGAGGGTGGGGAGGGAACAAAACAACATAAATTGTAGAAGAAAAAAAAATCTCTAACATATGAAAAGCTTAAAATGAAAAATAAGGGTTCTTCCTATCCCTGAGCATTTTCCAATTACATTGCTAACACCTGACAAAATACACGGTCCTTTTCCGATATAAACCCATTCTACTGGGTTTATTTTTCTGAGCTGAGATTTTTGTTTTAAAACTATCATTAGATCCATATCACTCCTGTCCCACTACCTCATACTCTTTTGGGTTGGGTTTTTTTGGAGTATTTTTGTTTTTGTTTTTTTATATTTTGTAGCAGTAATATGGGGGGGGGAGGGCAGCAGGAAGGAGTTATTACATAAAAAGATTAAAAATCACTGATTTCTCTTTTCCCAAGAGAAGGTGAAGTCACTTGGCTCAAATCTTGCTTCTGTTTTTCTTCTAAGGAGAATCATTTTTTGAACTGAAAGGGCCAAAAAAAGAGCTAAAATGGGATCAAAATCCAACACAAATAGAAGATAAAATAAATAAAACAAAAGAGAACACCCAATTACACTTTAACCCAGGATAGTGGCAAAGCTGGCAGACGTGACTGCTGAGCTATTTTAAGTAACCTCTGAAACCTCATGGCAAATGAGACGAGTGTTACAGGACAAGAGATGAGCAAATGTCCCAATTTTCACAAGAATAGGATCTGTGAAGTATAGACATGACCTCTAAGTTCCTCTACATTTCTGAGATACTATGATTCTGTCACTTAATCCTATTAAAAATTAAATACTTCACAGCTATTTGTATCTAAAGTTAAATCAAGTAAACATCTGGATTTCCTACTCCCCTTCCCAGACAGGAGCCCAACTACTGCCCAACTGTTCTCAGTACAGAAGTGCCTTTTAATTCTATTAGCGCTCCTTTTCATGGGGGAAGACGCATACCTCGCCTTGGGTGAGGAAGTTGGCCATCATTGCTCCCTTCACAGCATTCTCTATATCACAGTCTGAGAAGATGATAAGGGGAGATTTGCCTCCAAGCTCTAAGGTGACAGGTTTGATGCCTTGAGAAGACAACTCCATGATCTAACACAACAAACAAAAAATTCAGAAGGTGACTGTCTTAGCCTTTCCTCCCTTCGCTGGCCTCCTCCCACACATCATCTCCCAGGTGTACTGGCAGTCGGTCCTCTAAGCCCACAATGCTCTCTGGAGCTCCTGACCTTGGCCTCCCACAATCCGTGGTGTTCTTCAAGACCCAGCCCAAGTCCCACCTTCTGCAGGAGGACTTTCCCAGGCCCCCTCACTGCTAATGTTTTCCCTCTGAGATCCCTTCCCTTTACCCTGCATAGATCTTGTATACTGTATCCCTTCCTGCTAACTCCCCCATTGGAACAGGAGCTCCTGGAGAGCAGAGATTGTTTTCCCTCTCTATATTATCTCTGGCACTAAGCATAGTGCCTGGCATATAGTAAGCACTTAACAAATGCTTGTTGAACAACTGTTTCAGGGACCCAACCTTACTTAAAATACATCCTTTCCCCTTGATGCTCAGTACCAAATATTTATTAAACTTCCAAATTAGGACAAAAAGAAGGCTACATGAATATGCATGAATGATTAAAAAAAGTCCTTTTACAGTTACTAGGTGTGGAGTGGGTGTGTAGAGCACATATTAAGGTGGGAAGAGGTTTATCTAAAAAATGCATTTTAAAACTCTTTCTTCTCAGGCCCCAGCCATGAAACAATACAAGGTAACAGTTTACCCTTTGAAATATTAAACTCGCCCTCTGACACATGCAAAAAGGAGATAATGATTTCCACCTCAATTTGGTCCTACATAAATATACCATTTCAACCAGCCAGAGTCTGCTGACTGCCTACCTTCATACCATTTAGATAAGCCTAGACTTTCAGCCAAAAATACCTCCTCAACACAAAGGGATGAAAAATTAATTTCAGTGAATAAGCACTTTAGGAACTATGCTAAGCTGGAGAGACCACAGCATCTGATCCACTGACTGACGTGTGAAGAAGGTCCCTGCTGCCCAAATGCCCTTCTTAAGCACCTTCTTGCCAGTGGGCACACTCCCAGTGAAAGAAACTTTGGCCACATCTCGATGCTGGCACAGAAACTGGCCTGTAGCAGCTCCACCTTGCACCACATTGAAGAGCCCCGGAGGTACCCCAGCCTCAGTGTAGATTTCGGCCAACAGCACCACTGACACAGGCGTGAAGGGAGAAGGTTTAAAGATCATGGCATTACCTGCATATCAAACAGAAGGATAGCTCTGATTGGGAAGAAGCTAGAAATGACTTACATGTTAATCTCCCTTCCATCCATCTTTGTGCTAAAGAATACATTTTACTTTTCTTCCAGATTGGTTCTTTCCATTTAGCTCACTCCCCCAAAAAGCACAACACTCTCCCGATCAACTGCCTTCGTTAATCAATATCAACATGAGGACATGGCTCAAAATAGGGGCACGAGTCAATCAAAGGAAAAAAATTTCAATAGACCTCCCCAACTATAATGCTTTACATTGATCTTCTCCATACATTTCTCTAACGAGAACTGAGCTTCCTTCCCTCTAATGACTACTTTAAAACAGGGGTGGGGAACCTTCCACCTCGAGGCCACATGTGGTTCCCCATTCTTGCTTTAAAACCATCTGCCACTCGGTGTCTCTTGTTTTCTCAGCTCCATCATTTGCCTTACCCCTCTGCAATCTGACTGGCCCGTCACTTTATCAGTCAATGGCAACTGCTCTCTGGGATTGCCAACAAATTCTTAATTGCCAAATCCAACAGCCCTTTCTCAGTCCTTATTCTTCTTGAACACTGTGTAGTATTTGATGCTGGTGCCCACTCCCCTCCAGACACCCTCCTCTCAAGTATTCATGACACTTATCTCCTCAATCTTCTTTGCAAATTTTTGTCCCACCCATTATGGAAAAGTGTACCCTAGGACTCTGTTCTGGGCCCTCTTCTATTACCTCACTATAATCTCTTTTGGTGACTTCATCAGCTCCCATTGGTTCAACTCTCACCTCTATGCAGAAGACTGCTTGATCTGTAAAACCAGCACCAGACTCTCTCCTGAACTCGTCCTATACCATCAACTGCAGGTCCCATCAGTATATCAAACTCCAAATGTCTAAAACAGAAATCTTTTCCCCCAAAACATCCCCTTCTTCCTAACTCTCCTACTGATGTTGAGGGCATCCTTCCAGTCCACCATCCCTGGGGTACTATTCTACTTTTTCCTCTCATACAGCACATAAGGACTAGGGAGTAAGCTCTCAGTACATGCACCAGTAGGCATACATTATTGATTTAACTTGAACATGCCGTAGTGGCTCCAACCTTACCACAAGCCAAAGCTGGGGCGGACTTCCAAACAGCAATCTGGAAAGGGTAGTTCCATGCTCCAATTCCCACACATACCCCGAGAGGCTCCCGTATGGTGTATCCAAATGATCCACCAGGCAGCTGGACATGCTCACCTAAGGAAAAACACACAAGGCAAGATACAACTCTATTCCCTTCCAAGAGATAGAACTCTGTTCTCCCCAACACACCATCTTGGTCAGACTGGCTCCTCGATGTTCCCCAAGCATAATAACATGTTCATTCCCACCACCCCAATGTCTTTCCTCTTATGTTGGTTCAGCCCACATGTTATCCCTAACTCTTCACGTAATCAAATCCCACCCATCCTTCAAAACCTAGCTCAATTCTCAATTATTCCCTGATAACTATAGTCTATGCTGATCTCTTTCCTTCCTGACTAAACATGATATTTTGTATGTGAAGATGCATATATGTATATGCATATATGTATAAATATGTGTGAATATACAAAACTATGTATATATGTGTGTATATATATACACACATATACACAAATGTGTATATACATATATATATACACACATACATACATACATACATACATACATACATACATACACGAGAGAGACAGAAAAAGGGAAGGTGGGAGAAGTATGTACATTCTGGAACTAAAAAAAGTCTGACTTTTCTTTTATGTAAAAAAGGATATGTAAAACCTGTCTTTCCAACAAAACTGCAAACTTCTTGAGGGCAGGAACTGTTACACATACTCCTTTTGTATCTTACATCGTTCTGGCCACATAGTAAATAATCAATAAATACTTCCCAAAATACTGAATCTCAATGGTGACAATGGCTAACTTAATCCTCGGTCCAAAATTCAGCTAACCATATCTTTTATTAAACAGAAGGGGGTCACTGGAATATAAAGAAGAAAGTTGATTTATCCAAATTTATTAAATGAGTATAGAGTAAAATCAGGAAGGACACTGCAGATACTGAGTCTGAGGATTCTCACACTAATAATTAGCAAAACAATTAACACTTTTCTGCTCAGATGGACCTGGTCAGTCAGTCAAAAAGTATTCAGAGGACACAACCCATTATACTAGACAGAAACATCTAAGAAGCTTTCAGAGGAGCAGCTAGGTAGCACAGTGGATAGAGTGGATAGTAGTTTATCCCAGAGTTAGGGCTTGAGACCCAGTGCCTCATCAACAGCATGATCTTACCTGCCATGGAACCAGCCAAGCCTGCATAATACTCTAAGCACTGCCAAGAAATATCAATATCGAATCCAGCCTCAAAGATAGATTTCCCATTGTTGATGGTCTCCACAGTAGCTATTTCATCCCTCCGTTCCTTCAGGTAATGAAGAAAAAACAGACTAAGAGCACAACACCTTCTCAGTGTACTTACTGTCAAATTATGGAAAATAAACAAAATATTTAGTTTTTGCAATTTAAAAAAAAATTATCCCTGGAAGAAAATGAAAAAAGTAATAACAATGACTAAGGGGAAAAACAGAAACACAATAGATCCAATAGTAGTGCTCTCTCTGTCTCTCTCACCCCCCCTGGAAATACTTGTGGGACTGACATTAAATTCAAAATTTCATTTCAGAGTCTGTTAGGAAGAGATGGGTTAGGAGGAAGAAATCTATTCATATCATATATGTGTATATGTGTGTATATATCTATGTGTACATACATACATACATACATATTCATAAAAAACTGTTGGATAATTAAAAATATAAAATAGCCTGATATACAACTGGCACTACAGTATCCATAAATGTTAATCCCTTGAATTCCAACCAAAGGAATTTAGCAAGTAGGAATTACAAAATAATTCTTCCATCATACTTGGCACATAATACTCATTGGGAGTCCTATGTTTGCCTAGTCCACATTCCACAACTCCCTGGGGATATAAAGAAATAAAAAAAGAAAGCAACAAAAATGATAATCTTTTGAAAAATAGGCCCTTCAAGAAAATGCTAAGAAAGTGATTTGTCTACAAAGAAAACCTGACTTTGGTACTCTAAAACATAGACAGATACAGTACAACATGAAAGGAAGATAGGATGGACCAACTGGAACAACAGAAATCAGGCAGCTCTCCTTTGCGTGTTATACTACAATGCTTGGAAGACTGTAGTACAATTCTGAGTCACAGGCAGATAACCTCATTGAAAGAACCCTAATAACCAGATCCAATCAACCAGCTCTTATACTCTCCACTATACTCTCTGAACTACACTGGACAGCCTGATGTTCATTTTTCACATTTCACCCTTCTCCCTCCCCTCAGGGCAGGCCCAAAAATCTCATGGAAGGGAATAATGAAAACACGTAGTTAATTTGAAAGGTATGGCAGAATAGCATGCTTCCTCTGTAACGAATCCAAGGCTCTGATAATAGCTTAACTCACAGACCAACAAAAGCACAACCCTGGTGGATTTGGAGAGTTCTTAAAAAAAGAACTAATCATTTTCCTTTGACCCACATTACAATGAACACCCACGGTACTTCTGTTTTCAACTATGATTCTCGCATCCTCAAAAGTACTGCTGAGATCTGTTTGGTTTTGATTTTTTTAATGTTGTTAGTCTAATTTTGAAGCTTTTCTTTCTTGCAGCCTGCACACAGCAGAATCTCTAATGGCTGTTCCAACAGACTCTTTCCTTTCCTCACAGAAATTTCAATTTCCTCTTCCTTGCTTTTACCACATCAATTGTTATGATTTCTCCCACACACAACTCCCCTTTGTGCCTTCACTTTTTGTTACCATTCATTCCTGCCCTCTCTTACTACACCTGGAGAAGTCCTTTGGCCACCATTTGTCTTTCCCTTTGAATGTCTACAAAGGCATCTAGCAATCCGGGTCAGCAAAAAACAAGCATAAACCAACAGGGTTATCAGCTCAGTCATACTGTTAATTATTAACATTGAGAATAACAACTGAGCTTCTCTCACCACTACTATTTACTCAGTTTATAAAAAGGGTCTCTTCGGCTTTCTAACAGATGAAAGAATAATTGTCAACTATAATAAACAAAACAGGAATCTAATTGATTAAAATTAATTTTAAAGTATTTGGAAAGGTAATTTTTTTTAGTATTAAGTACTCACTGGTCTATGATGATCCTGACCAAAATGCTGCTCAGACTTCTCATCATGGTGTGGAGGGGAACCAGGGTTGTTAAAGGCTTTACCAGTGGATCATAACCTCTGGTGGGTCAGTTCTACATGGACCAGCCCAGCTAAGTTTAGAGAGGTTCATCAGTGAACTGGCCACCAAGGTAATGACTATTTTTTGGTCACGAAAAGTTGTGAAATCATTCACTAATCCATCAATGGCTTTCAGCCTACATTAACAGCAAATTCCTAAAGAAATCAGGGATTGCATATCATTTTGGACGCTACATAAAGCACATTAAACCGAGTCGTTATTATCTAGAAAACAGGGTACAAGGATGTGAAGAATAAAAATATATATAAATCTCATGAGCTACAACAGAATTCATGGAGACAGTAGGCCAGAAAAAAGAAGTTAGGTGGGCCAGAGAGGGTTCAGTGAAATTAACAGGGAAGAGGAAAAGAGCAAAAAACAAGATAAACTAACTACGAGGATGAATTACTGTCAAACAAAGATAAACCAAGTATCTGATAGAAATTATTAAATAAAGACTCATTTATAGCCCTACAGGATCAGTTGAGCTAGGCAGATGGTCCTTGCTCCCAAACTTTATTATATGTCATGTAATTTCACTTTAAGGCCAAGGCATCATAAAGAACCACCTGAACAGTTCAAGGGTAACTTTCTAAAGGGGATAGTCCTCTAAAAAGGAATAAAACCAACACACTCTAATTATCCTGGCAGCTTCCAGAAGGATTCGGGAACGCTCCATGCCTGATTTTTTCCTCCATATTTTAAAAGCAGCTTTTGCACTCTGAACTGCCAAATCGACTTCCTTCTCTCCAGAACACTGGAAAGTAGCTATTACTCGGCCTAAAATGGGAATAAAAAGAAGAGATATTTCCAACGTAGACAGTTATACAAGCAATTTAGTTAGTTAGGTGTGTTCAGTAGATACAGTGCTGGGCCTTCAGTTGGGAATATTTGAGTTCAAATCCAGCCTCAGATACTCCCTAGCTGTGTGACCCTAGGCAAGTCACTTCTTCTCTGCCTCAGTGTCCTCAACTGTAAAATAAGGATAATAACAGCATCTAAGTCCTAAGTCCTAAGCCCTAAGTCCTCCCCACCCTCTCAGAATCCACTTCTGACCAATTCTGCCATTTACACTTTCTACTAAGCCATTTACTCTACTAAACTAGTACTAATATTGTTATTAGATTAGGTGAATTAGTCTCATCTAAACTCTGCATCTCTAGGGGCAGCTAGGTGGCACAGTGGATAGAGCACTGGATAGAGCACTGGCCCTGGAGTCAGGAGGACCTGAGTTCAAATCCAGCCTCAGACATATAATACTTACTAGCTATGTGAATCTGGGCAAGTCACTTAACCCCACCTGTCTCATACAAAATAAACCCCCCGCCCAAAAAAACTTTGCATCTCCCTTCCTGGCCACTTAAACTCCAAGCTCAGCAAACAGTAACTTAATAAAATTAAAAATTGATTTCCAACAAATATTGCACAATCCCTGTGGCAAAGAAACCCTCCTAGGCAGCACAAAATGTAGGACTTCACATGGTAGGGAGAATCACAGATGATTATGCTTATAAGTCTCTACTACTACTTCTAAAGTATTCTTCTGCCCTCCAGATTAGATTACAGGTGTAGAGTGCCTTGTAAACCTTAAAGTTCTATGTAAAAAGCTATGGCAAAATTTATTCTGGCCAAACCAACACGTGGGATCCTCCCTCCCTCATCAGGCCTAAGGAACTACTTCTGTTCCCACCCCTTTCTACACACTGCTGAGTCCAAAAATCTGGTCCCCAGTCTTGGGCTTCCAGCTCATTCCCCCCACCCCCACCTTACCTCCCGCCGACAAAGGTTATATTGGACTTGGGACCCTGGAAAAGCAGCTAGGAAGTTGGGTGTGTAGTGGAACTGAACCTAGACTCAACAGGACCTGAGTCCAAATCCGCCCTCAGGCACTTACTAGCTATGCGAGCTGGGCAAGTCACTTAACCACCGTATGCCTCAGTGTCTTCGCCTGAAAATGGGAGTGATTACCATCAATGGCATCTACCTCCCAGGGTGGTGGTGAAGATCAAAAGCCATACTAAGGGTGGAGTGTGTCATAACTTGAAATCTCTATGATAATATGCTGCCTATCATTATTATCGGCCCAGGGCCGTTGGGAGGGGCACGGTCTAACGCTGCTTTAAACGAACAGTGCTTAAAATCCGCTCCGAGACTGGCAGAGGTGCAGAAGAAAAGCGGAGCACCCGGTGCAAAGGCGCGGGCTGCTGCTGTTCAACACGAGACCAGAGGACTCCGGGAGGTCGCCCAGGACCACCCCTTCAATTTAGAGATGGGGAAACTCAGGCCAGGGGAAGTCTAGAGACTTGCTGAAACTTAAAAGTTGGTGAAACTTCATGCACCGCCCCCCTCCCTTCCCTCTCTTCTCCTCTCCCCCTCTCCTCTCCACTAGTATCTTCTTCTTTTCCCTCTCTCTGCCCCTCCCCCTTCATTTCTCCCACCTTCCTCGCCCCCCTACCCTTCTCTTTCCTGTGTCCACCTCCCCCATTCAGCTTCGTCTCCCCCGCCTCCAGCCCCTCTCCCCTCCCCTAGGTCCTCCCTCCAGCCCCTGCCTCCCCCTGCCTCCCCCTCCCCCCTCCTCTCTAACCTCCCCCCCCGCCCATCCCCCTCGTGCCAGTCACCTGTGGCCGGCTCGTAGGCCTCCTCGGTGCCGGAGCCGTCGGCGGGCTGCACTCGTTTCCCGCCGCGGTAATTGAGGGGCTGCGAGACGGTGAAGCTGCCGGTGCTCATGGCGGCGCAGCCGGGGGCCAGGAACTGAGCCAGCACGGAAAAACCACGTGACGGGAGCGGCGGCGCAGGGATGGTCCCCGCTGCGGCGAGTGACGTCTGACTAAACTGCCGCGAGGCCCCGCCCCGGGCGGGGGGAGGGGGAGGGGCAGGAGCGGGTTGTTCAATTTCAGTTCCAGTGTTTGTGCCCTGGAAATCCACCAGCGCTGAACGTGGAAGCGCCACCCTGGGTATGGTCTCCAGAAGGCCTCTGTTAAAATGGGTAACTTGTCTGGGAGCCAGTACTTCCTATATGATTAACTTCTCAGAACCTCAGTATAGATTTAAGATAATAATAATAATAGCTAGTATTTATAGAACACCTACTATGTGCCAAACACTGTGCTAAGCACTACAAGTATTAGTGAATTTGATCTGCACAACAACCCTGAGAGGTAGGTGCTCTTATAACCCCCATTTTACAGGTGAGGAAACTGAAGCAAATAGAGGTTAAGTGATTCTCCCGAGGTCACACGACTACTAAGTGTCTGAGGTTGGATTTGAACTCACATTTTCCTGACTAGGTCTAGCTCTCCCAACTGCCAGAACTGGAAGGATCCTTAAAACCCATCCATTGTAACTCCTTCATTTTGGGGGTGAGAAAACAGAAACACAGAGACTTTAAGTATTTTGCCCAAGGTTATACAATGACTGGCAGAGTAAGGTTGAATTCAAAGCCTCTGACTCCAAATTCTATATGCTTTCCACCACATTGTGTGGGCTTCAATTAATTACCTCATTTGTAAATGGAGGAAGTTGGATTTAGTGCTATCTGAGGTTTCTTCCAGTTCTAAGTCCAGTGGCTCTTTCCCATGGGCACCCATTAGTTTGGCAAATAATCAGTTAGCCTTGGGTATCCAGAAAACTGGTTGGGGGTGAGGCTGAGATACAAAACACATAAATTACAATAGTTTTGAGCTTTCAAAAAATGAGACTTCAACAGGAGCTGGCTGGCCAGGCAGCAATATGGGGACCTACAATTGTTTAGGGCGATAGGACATGAAATGGGAGAGAATTGTCAAGGAGCTGTAAAAGAGATGACATCCCCAGTAAGGAGGGGGAGGGTTTCTAAGCAGAAAGGAAAAAGAAATAGTTCAACGGTTATCAGTTAGTTAAAGAGGAATTTTGGTTAGTTCACAGTTTATCTAGCACCAGTTCCTGGTGTCCCATATTGTTCTTGTTCTTGGGATAAATCAGTTGGTTGATTCAAGAAAAACCTGAAATATAGACTAAAACGGAGAAGCCAAGCCAATTTTTGAGACAAGTGTACAGACTTCTAGTGACTCTAGAAAGGAAAAGGTTTCCTGATATAGAAAATATGAAATTACTGAACCAAGTAGACAAAGAATTAGTACGGCGTTAAGGGTTTCTATAGCAAATCAGGTATCTTCGTTATGTAACAACAAATTAAAATAATCTATAACAGCCTATGAGGCAATGGAAAAGGTCTAGAAAAATACCCATTTCCAAGGACAAATAGCTTCATTAACCTCAGGGATGCGTGCTTATGTACGGCTTAAGGAAGCCTAGCAGGGGAGCCACTCTTCAGGTACAGAGTAAACTGAAGAAATTCAGAAAATCTGGTGAAAAGTAGACTCAAAGGGAAATCCATTCCAGTTGGAAAGATAATGAACCAAGGGAGTAAGTGGTGTTCTAACTGGTCTGACATGGCTTCTAGGGGAAGCCAGGATAGCCTATTTTTGTTCCAGCTATACATAGGGCATATATACTGAGGTGTATCAGGATAGAAGTTGTGTTTTTAGAAACTTTATTTTCTCAGATTTCTGTTCACTATCTGTTTGGATAAATGGGTTATTTGTTATTTGCAGTAAGGGTTCATTATGGAAATGGTATTTGGTGGGAAGGAAGTCAAGCTTTGGATATATCACTTGGGGCCTTCCTTTCCTGACCAGAAATAGCAATCAGGAGTTTAGCTGGAACCTAAAAATTATATTACCTAGACCAGAGGCGTCAGACACCTTAGTGCAGACCAAACCAGATGAAAGTATAATTGGGAAATATTTAACAAAATTTTAAAAAATACAATAGAACATAGACAATGCTAATATGTGGTTTTCTAAGTCAATATGTAGCCTGCAGGGATCCTTATGTAGTAGCCCCTGTTTCTATTTGAGGACTATCCTGGACTAATAATATTTAAGGGAGTGTGTTGATGTATGTACATAAAATATATATACATACATGTACGTATATATGATACATGTACATGAATAACATTTATAAATACATATACATACCCATGCCGTTGTTATTCAAGTGTTTCAATTGTGTCAGACTCCTCATAACTCCATTTAGAGTTTCCTTAGCAGAGATACTACAGTAGTTTGTCATTTACTTCTGTAGCTCATTTTACAGATGAGGAAACTGAGGCAAACAGGTCAGTGACTTGCCCAGGGTCACACAGCCAGTAAGTATCTGAGGCCAAATTTGAACTCAGGAAGAAGCATCTTTCTGAGTCCAGACTCAGTGCTCTACCCACTATACCATTTATCTGCCCCAGTTGTTGTACTATCTTGCAACTCTACCTTTGTTGACCTGAAAGTTGGTAAAAGAGGCAACAAGCTGGATGATAAGTAAATTCATATTGTTTATTTCCCTTAAGTTAGCGACATGTACATGGAGCCAGAGCTTTAACACTGACTGAATCAAGCAATTTTAGGAAGATATTTAAACCCTGACTCGGGATGTCTGTGTTATTCAGATTTATGGTTTCCATGTACGTTTAACCATAACATGAGAAAGGAATTTTCTTAATTGTAAATACAATGTGATAGGAGACTGTCAAAGTGTCCATTGAAATTATAGATCCAGGATATCTGTGTTTAACATAGTATATGTTCATAAAATACCAAGATAAGAAAAGTCCCATTATTCAAGATAGTGTCTGGGTCTAAGGCACCTTGGTGGTCATAAACAGAAGAATGCTGGTCAGCTTCATGTGGTCCTGTAGTTGCTGACAGAGGAAGGAGCATTTTGAGTTCACTCAGAGAGCAAAGAAAAGCATGTCTATTATGTTAGGGTCCTTCTTGTAGTTGATTATTTCAGGCTTTGGCCTTTATTGGGGTTCAAATGATCTTAAATGATTATTACCTTGTCCTCAAAAACTTAGATAACATCCTCATTCTTACTCAGCAATCTCTTATGAATAATAACATTCACAAAGTGACAGTATTTTCCAAGTAACACTCTCAAAGATTCACAGTATCTAGCCAAAAAAAATTTAACCAATCACCAAAGCAATTCATAAACTGACCAAATAAATTAACAACACTAATCAACCATAATAGCAGTAAGTGTCAGCAACCACTGTCAGCGAGTTACCAGCCAGATAACTTGTAAATATATAGCTATGTAACAGTAGCAATTATGTGACAATATTTCCTTTGGAATTATTAAATAATAAGCATTTAAAGTCATATACAATGGAGTAGAAGAGTTTAGGGGAATAATAAAGAAGATAAACCATTAGCAAATTTCATTTTTAAAAGAGTGAAACCATATTAGTGGTATAAAAAACAGGAAGGATGAAGAAACAAATGACATTATTAGAAACTAATTTGAATAAGTAGTGAGACATCTATGTGGCACAGGATAGAGTGCTGGACCTGGAGTGATTTAGATCTGAGTTCAAATCTATTCTCCAACAGTAGCTGTGTGACCATGGGCAAGTCGCTTAATCTCTGCCTCCATTTCCTCATCTGTAAAATGGGGTAATAGTAGCTACTTCACAAAGTTGTTGTGAGAATAAAATGAGATAACATTTGCAAAATCTTTGCAAACCTTAAACCACTATACAAATGCTAGCCATTGTTGTTATTATTATCAATAAAACTGTCAAGGTACAAGAAAGGTATGATTGTATACAAAAATGTAAAATGCCCAGATTAACAGAACAAAAAAGAGAGCTTAAATAACCCAGTATCAGAAAAAGAAATTGAATAAGCCGTAAATGATTTCCCAAAGGAGGGGGGGAAACAGGACTAGATGAATTTGTAGGAGAATTCTATCAAACATTCAAAAAAATTAATTCTAATGCTACACAGACTTTGTAGAAAAAGGAATAGAAAGGATCCTACTGAATTCCTTCCGTAATGTAAATGTAATCTTTATACACAAATCAGGGAGAAATAGAACAGAAAGAAAATTATATCCCCAAATTCCTAAACAAAAACAATAACCCTAAAGAATATTGAGGCAAAATGTTATAAATTATTTTCCTCTTTCTGCTCACTTCATTCTGTATCAGTTAATATAAATATCCCCAGGTTTTTTGAAATTATGTCTTTCATTATTTCTTAATGTATAATATTATTGCATAGTATTAATGTATCACAATTTGAATGGCTTGCCTCAGAATGTGATTTCCCCCTCATTGTGGTTCTTCAAGCAAAGGTCAGAAAACCATTTGTTATGTGTATTGCAAAGGGTGGATTCATTTTCTAATATGGGTTTGATAAGATAGACACTGACATCTATTTTCACTCTGAAATTCTGTGATTCTGTGATCTAAGAAGGATGATTTGGATTGGAGAAACTAGTAGTATAGGAATTAGATTGGTGTGGTATGCTCCAGGAACATAAGTTAAATAACAGAGGTTTATCAGAGTTAATATGCTCCATAGTCAATGATGGAATTTGGAATTTTGGTTTTCTGGAGGAGGCCTGAATGCAATCTCTTCTCCTTTCCTTCCCTTTAATTGGGAAGGAAAAAGAACCAAACAAATTTCATGAGAAGAGCGTTTTTGTGGAGCATGTTCTTGGCATGTGGAATGTATGGGAACGGGATAGAAGGATAAAGCAAATGGACAACAGGTCTCTGAACCCAAACAGGCTCAGAGGTCAAGAATCTCCAGAGGGAACAGTACCTCGAGCAGGAAAAAGTATATAAAATGATGAAAAGACTGTCCTAATTTTGAAGGAAAGGTCCTTTGACCTACTCTAAGTGGAAGAACTAATG